CTTTCTTTTCTTTTTTCTTTTCTTTTCCTTCTTTTCTCTTTTTCTCCTCCCTCCCTCTCTCTTTCTTTCCTTTCTTCTTTCTTCTTTCTTTCCTTCTTTCTCTTTCTTTCTCTTGCTTGCTTTCTCTCTCCCTCCCTCCCTTCTTCCTTTCTTCCCATTTTGCTTCCTTTCCTTTCCTTCCTTCCTTCGCTCCCTCCCTTTTCTATCTATTTCCTATCCAATCCTGATTAATCTTTCCAAAATCCAAGCACAGACTGATCTGGTTATGGCACGGATGGGGTGCCATCACCACCTGTTGAACTTCACTCAAAAGATCTTTACTGAACCAGTTAGAATAAAAAAAAAATCAAAAATAAAAGCTAGCTTCCTTCATTCTGTCACAGCTCAAAGCTGCTGTGTCTCTCAGCCTTGACACCTTGAAGATATATATGTGGTACTTGCAACTCCCAGAATTCCCCAGGCAGCCACTAAGCGAGTGGCCGTAAGTTCGAGGACTCCCAGTAAATCTGATCGGTGGGTCGCCCTCCCAAGCCAGCTGTGGGGCAGTTCTGTTCGCCCTTTCATGCACAACCTAGAAATAAGGAAAAAAATTCTGACAATGAGAACAATCGACAGATGGAAGAGAAGTTGCCCTCGGAAGTTGTGGGAGCTTCGTCCCTGGAGGCTTTCAAGAAGAGACTGGACTGCAATTTGTCAGAAATGGTGTAGGGTCTCCCGCTTGGGCAGGGGGATGGACTAGATGACCTACAAGGTCCCTTCCAGCTCTGTGAATCTGTTATCTGTTAGACACTTATTTCTGCTCTTTCCCCAGGGGAGTCTTTGGCAGCAGGAATTCACCTCCCTGGAGGAGAAACCTCAGTTCCCCGGAGCCTCGGCTGAGTATATCGACAAGCTGGAATTCATCCAACCCAACATCATTTCGGGGATCCCCATTTACCGGGTCATGGACCGGCAGGGGCAGATTGTCAACCCCAGTGAGGATCCCCAGGTGAGATTTAGGCCAGGGGTCCCCAACCATGGCAACTTGAAGACCTGTGGACTTCAACTCCCAGAATTCCTCAGCCAGCAAAGCTTGGAGATTTGTGGACTTCAACTCCCAGAATTCCTCAGTCTTCTAAACTTGGAGACTTGTGGCCTTCAACTCCCAGAATTCCACAGCCAGCCTTTGGTCACGCCCACTCCTTGCAGGCCCTGCCTTTCTTCCATAGATCTAGATCAGAGGTCTCCAACCTTGGAAACTTGAAGACTTGTGGACTTCAATTCCCAGAATTCCTCAGTCAGAGGAATTCTGGGAGTTGAAGTCCACAAATCTTAAAGCTTTGCTGGCTGAAGAATTCTGGGAGTTGAAGTCCACAAATCTTGCTGGCTGAGGAATTCTGGGAGTTGAAGGCCACAAGTCTTCAAGCTTTGCTGGCTGAGGAATTCTGGGAGTTGAAGGCCACAAGTCTTCAAGTTGCCAAGGTTGGAGACCCCTGATCTAGGCTTCTGCCCCCACCTTACCTGCCCCCCAAAAAACATGCCTAAAAACCTGACTTTCACTTTCCGCCCTCCCTGCCTTTGCAGATTTCCCAGGAGGAAGTGCTGAAGTTCTACAAGAGCATGACGCTGCTCAACACCATGGATCGAATCCTCTACGAGTCCCAGAGACAGGTGAGAGGATGGCAGGAAGGGAGGGAGGGAGGGTCAGGGCAGGGGATCTCTGGGTGGCCCCTCGTGCCAACACCATGGGGTGACCATTGGCATCCGGATCCAAGACAAGGGATCAGCTTTCACCTAGGAAGCCTTACCTGGTACGGGGCCAGGGGGCTGCCAGGATATAAACCGACGGCAAACTGCACTCCTTACTGGCACTGATGATGTTAGCTGGTTGGGTAATGAAACGTCTGCAAGAAAACAAGCAAGCTCAGAGAGCACCAAGGACCCCACAATCCTCTTCTTCTTCCTCCTCTTCTTCCCCTTCTCCTCCTCCTCCTTTCTACAAACACAGCACTCCCCTGTAGCATTGATAATGTTACCTAGTTTGGTAAAGGAATGTCTGCAAGAAAACAAGGTCAGAGAGCACCAAGGACCCCACAGTCCTCCTTCTCTTCCTCTTCCTCCTCCTCCTCCTCCTCCTCCTCCTCCTCCTCCTCTTCCTCCTCCTCTTCCTCCTCCTTCTCCCCTGACAAACCCCACTCCCTTCTAGCACTGATGATGTTACCTAGTTTGGTAAAGGAACGTCTGCAAGAAAACAAGCAAGCTCAGAGAGCACCTAGGACCCCACAATCCTCTTCTTCCTCCTCCCCCCTCCTCCTCCTCTTTCTCCTCCTCCTCCTCCTCTCCGCAAATCCCACTCCCTTCCAGCACTGATGATGTTACCTAGTTTGATAACGAAACATCTGCAAGAAAACAACCAAAACATCAAGGACTCTTCCTGTCAACCCTGAGCTACCAATATTCTCCTTTTATTAGCCTCTTTTTGGCTTTGGACCTGAAGCCCCGGGCCAGCATTCACAGTCCTGGCCTCCTTTTTATTCCCAGGGGCGAATTTCCTTTTATATGACCAACTACGGAGAAGAAGGCACCCACGTAGGCAGCATCGCAGCTCTGGACGACGCTGACCTGGTCTTTGGACAGTACCGAGAAGCAGGTGAGCGTCCGGCAGGCGTTTTCTTCTTCGGCCATAGTAGCTAAGCAGCCACCAGGGGGCAACATTTCAAAGGAGAGGACTAGAAT